TTATTATTACTATTATTGCTATTATTATTGCAAAAACACGGGGCAGCCCATGGCTGGCACGCTTCTAATCATAATTGTTGCCTGCCAACCTGCAATGCACATGTGTCTGCAATGCATAGAGATTAGGTGGGTGCGAAAGTGTAGCTGATATATTTGTTCGAATTGGCTACGAAAGTCAAACAAGAATAAAGAAGACTTATGGCTAAGACACAAATGAATTTATCAGCAGAACACCAGACACCAGATGAGCCCTGTCGCACTGCAGCACTTGTGTGATTATTATTACGATATATGATTGCTAGACTATGTTATTGTATACCGTATGACTAACATAATGAAGATTCATATTGCAGCCTTTTGGTTTAATGATCAATTGCCACTATCTGACATACTTCTTAAATTACTACAAACCACTTAAACTTTTGAACTTAAAAATGTTCTATTATATTGTTCTTATAGACATTCACACAAATAAAGAGAACACAACTAGCCAAATACCATGCAGCACCAGATGATATGAGAAGCAGTGTGGAGTGCAACCCAGTCACAATCTTTCACATGGCTATCGAAAACTGCAAGCCTCTACTAGTCTTACAGTCTGTGAAGAGAGGTGCTGTGACATACCAGGTAGTATTGTAGCGCCAACCTTTATTACACCTTTAGTATAATTGAATATATGTGGTGATCAAGGTAATTTATGAACGCGATTGATGTATATCAGAAGTAATTAATGACAAATAAATTTTTAGCCACCATCCTTAAAGTTGAGTCAATATTTGCATTGATATTTAATTTTTGTCTGTGGTTGGTTGCATAGTTCAAAGTATGTCCTCAAATATCTGTGAAAAAACTTACTTTTCATGGATACTTGCTTTCGTTCTTTTTAACATTGATGCCGATGGGTGAGAAACAGACGTACCTGCCTGGCTCCGGTTCTAATAATTAAGTTGAACCTATACTAGCTAACTGTTCTTCTATCTCTAGTAATTCTTGTTGCACTTGACAGTAATTGTGGTCATGGTATATGTGGAAAGCCATAATAAATAGGTAAAACTGTTAAATTTAAATGTTATGTGCAGCCTGCTCACAGTCAGCACTTTCTCGAAGTGCGTAAGGTGTAAACACAAGGTGTAAACACAAGGTGTAAACACAAGGTGTAAACACAAGGTGTAAACACAAGGTGTAAACACAAGTGTGTTTGTGTGTAATTATAATTCCATAGCAACGATTGCTGTTTAAATACAAAACACGTGAACTATAAATCCCTGCCGTGCCTCCTGCGAGTTTCTCCACATCACGCGCTGTCGCCAGCTGTACAATTTGGGCGCACACATACAAATCAGCAGCAACTGTTTAGAAAACCATGTCGTGTACAAATACGATTTATGTCAAAACGAAGGAAGCTACATGGTTTCTAATAATACTGGAAGATAAAGTAAGGACATGTGAACAGAAAAAGCTGAAGTCTGTATACATTTATATTTTTATTGACATCAAACTCGTAAGACAGAATGTAGTGAAATCAGCATCCAATACGTGTCAAACTTCTTGGTCATGATTCACCCCTGATGTGTTTGAAATGAATTATTGTTGGATCGCAACATGGAATATATGGGTTGGAAGTGATTTTCCTAGATTAAGCCAGATTTTTACTGCCATAACTACATCACACAGATTTCGAAGTGTCCGCTAATATCCTACATATCGCAACAAGAAATAGTTGTAGTTGTAAATGTCACTGGTCGCACTTGTGCCTATCGGTTGAACCCAGCAGGAAATTTGCAGAGCTAATGTTGGCATTGCATTGCTGTCTTTTGTAGGTACCCATTCCTGTGAGGGAGAAGGAGAGAGAGTTCCTAGCTATGCAGTGGCTGAGAGAGGTGTGTCGGGATAAGCACCGGACCGTTCACATGGACATTAGACTCGCACAGGAACTAATCGATGCATCAGAGAACACGGTAAGCATAGGTTGCTGTAAGACCTCACTGAGCTGGTTGCCAGTCTATGTACTTGTTAGTTATTAAAGGCATAATAAGCCCATTGATTATGCAATGTTGATAAATGCTAGAGTAACTGGCACCTTGTGTAGTTAATAAGTACATAACCTTATAGCCAAACGCATATTAGTTTGTCCAATATCACTGCTGGTTACAATACAAACAAAACTTCAAATCGGTTGTTGATATGTATCAACGTATTATTTACGTGCCGTAAATGTCATCCAGGAGTCAAGTGATGACGTAAACATTTGTGCGGCCCGTATGTTTTGGACGCCAGATGAAATGGAGGTGTCAGCGGTGTAACCACGGCCATGGACTAAACATGGAAATGGAGTAAAACATCACGTACTAATCACGGACGCACGTGGACAGCCCTGATAAAAAAGTTCCTTATCACGAGTGTCCATGTTTACGAAATCACTGATGATAGCATTGCGTACGGCCGAGCATGCGTGCGAAAATGTCCAGTGCACTATAAATCTGTATCACACCCGCTTCGCCGGCAGCGGTTTGAAACTGTAAACAACTGATTTTTGGACTGCGGATTCAACTAGACCTTTCTTAGTAACCAGCAGTGATATTGGACAAACTAATACGCGTTTGGATGTAAGGTTATGTACTTATTAACTACACAAGGTGCCAGTTACTCTAGCATATTAGCTCTTTTTATGCCTTTAAAAGTTATTGTGATTAAAAAATGCTGAGAGCTGAATATTGCTCACTGTGAGGAGAACACTTGTGTTCTTACAGGGGATGACAGTGAAGAGGAAGCAGGATCTTCATAGACAGGCAGAAGCAAATCGTGCGTACGCTCACATGCGCCTTGGCAGATAGACACAAATGGAGCATTTCTGCAGATGGCGCTAGTAGTTAACTAATGTCAAAGGTGCTGACAGGCCGATACTGTAACAGCTTTGATCCAGTAACACCCAGAAAATCTATATCATTGGGAATTTGGGTAACAGTAGAATAACTGCACTGCCATAGATAACTCATCTATAAAGTTTTCCCATTGCTTGAAAATTTTTCAGTATACCGTGGTTTGTAAGTGCATTGTTCTGTTAATCTGTCTTCTTTGTTTGTGCCTCGATACGTATTCTGAAACTGGGCTTCAACCCTTTTTCAAATATATTATCAGGAGTGTCATAATATAGAGGAATTAATATATGATGAAACTCCTGATTTTATGATATGTTTATGTGGTGCTATACAGACAGTTGTTACACACATGTATTAGCCAATCAGGTAGCGTTACCAGGCGCATGCGCACACATAGATGCCATTATCGGCCATTTTTATGTTTGCTGTGCGCATCTGCAACACTGCATGATCTCTACTAATATACTACTTACTATACTATATATAGTAGTACTGGAATATGAATCGGTTTCATACATCAAAGAAACCTAGAAAAGTGAAAAGGCTAGTTTCTGATGGCAGGAAACTGAAGACAGTTTATGTTAGGCGTTTGCCACCTAACAGTAACATAGTAGTAAACGAGACTGCAGAACGAGGAGACAATACAGCAGAGACGGACACCATTCTCTTGGCCTCGACCTCGGCCTCGACCTCGGGTGTGCCTGGTAGATAGTAAATTTATTAGTCGTTATAAATATAGTAAAAATTAAATTTTAGTAGTGGTTATCTGATCAATACCCCCTGGCTATTGCGTTTGTGTCTAACTAGATTCAACAGACTACTATAACTATAAGTATAACAGGGTAACGGTTTCTTCTGGGAGAAAATTAGACAAAGGAGGTAATGCCTGGCCAGTTTGCTGTTTGGGAAAAAAACGCACATAATGGATTCAATTGCAGGATGTATTGATATACTTAGTTATAGGTATATAGATACAGGATATACTTATCAGTTATCAGTAAATACAGGAACATTTTCACAACGGCAATGTTAAATTTGACAACGGCGGTGCACCACTGTGCCTCTTAGTCTTGTGTATAACTATAAGAAACCCTGTATAAGTATAATAATATACGTACAGGTCATTGCAAATGCAATACCTGCACTTCAGTCACATTCGTAATTATGAATAAATAATGAACTCTGTCTGACGCTAAAGGGCCGGACACACTAGGCGATTTTATTGGGCGACTTAATTGGAGTGGGGGGTGAAAATCGCCTAATGTGTCCAGTCAGTCGCCGCTGATTCAATCGCATCGATCAAAACGTTTTAATATTATCAGGAGTAGATAATAGGGAAGGAGTGTGACATCAATAAACAAGGGAAATTCGTCATTTACTAGCCTTATAATACCTACGATTTACTACGCGTAACTCATCCAACTTGAGCTCAAATCGTACACCGTACATTTGCCTAGAATCGTGCGAAATCGTTTCCTCGTATACACCCGCAATCCGGAGATACAGACTAAAACGTACGACACGATGAACCATTCTTTGGCCATCAATCCAAATGCACTGCCCGCCTCATATTCAAACAAAAGGCAGATACGTACACTGGCGCGCGCTTGCTGTGCTTGCTCATCGGAATGTCGAATGTGGCGGTGTGGCTCGCGGGGAGATTGGACATCGACGCAACACTCGACGAGCTAATCATGACCTATTTGCAGCTAGTATGCCCCCCACCCCCAACCGAAATCAGCAGCAGCTCTGCGGCTCAGCGTTAGCGTGTATAACCGACTGCGCAATAGCACATCTGGAGTCTATCAATAAACAATAATATTGCTGTTAGACTCCTGCTCACGTGCAGAGGTTCGTGTACACGTTGCTATGACTATATTGCTGTCACTGCGTCATGTAAATAAATAGAGCGGTACGATCGCTGGTGAGCAAGTTTGTATATATCTTGTATATTCTGTATGTATATATCTTGTATATTCTGTAATAATCTGTAACTGTATATATAATATCTGCAAATTATCATCATGGATAGCACACCAGTAAAGTGTGCGGGTACTAGTGCTCTTCCTCAAACACCACGACGATCCCCTAGACTCGCCCTAAAGAGGAAAATAATAGGCCGTGAACATAGCTATAGTGTGCATGGAACTCATCAGATAACGAAGTTGATATTTCACTTATCGCATAGATACTAACCCAAGTTGGGTTAGTATCTATGCTTATCGGCTCTAGCGAGAAACAACAGAACAAAGAGATGCACGCCAATGTTCCGCGTCGCTGCACGGCTACAGGCTACAGCATACAGGCTACAATAGCACTCGCCCGTTGCGTCTATGGTTTCGCCGATGTCCAATCTCCCAATGTCCAAATGGAAATGAGTCTTAGTATCCATGCAGCTGTGTGTCTAAATTGTGGTGTGCCATAGTGTGTTGTGTGTCAGTGCAGTATGTAGATGGCATAAAGGTGATGGGGAAAATGCAGGTGACTTAAATCAATGACTGTCTTAATTTTAGCTCCACGAACACATGCAGAGCGAATGCAACGATTGCTGAGTGGATGGGAAAAGATAAGGGAAGATATCACGGCAACGAGGCTTGAGGAGATGGCGCCTGCCACTACTGTGTGCAGCATGTGTGACGCGGCCGACGCTGCAATTAAGTGTATGGAATGTGGGCCATGTGTCTACTATTGTGCCACTTGTTGTGAAAGGGTTCACAGGCATACACTTTTCCACGAACCACTCAAATGGAATGTAAGTGTCAGTTGTTTTTTAACTTTGTCATTAGTTTGGTTTCAACTTCACTTGTCTTCAATTGGTGCTGTATGGAATGAACATAATGGCATCAATGAACATGAAATAATTAATGCATGAATGATAGCTTGAATTGCTATGTTTTTTCTTATAGCATTGTATATGTATACTGTATAATATATATTTGTTTATCGATTGTTTCCATATTTTTGTTGTTATTTTAGGGCTCCCTCTATCTGCCTGTCGACCTATTAATATATGATGAAACTCCTGATTTTATGATATGTTTATGTGGTGCTATACAGACAGTTGTTACACACATGTACAAGTATATAATATCCAGAACACTGTGATGTGTAGCAACCATGTGGTCACGGACATGATCTATCTCACGGATTTTACGGTATGTGTGTCTGGATTGTTGGCTATGTAGATATTATATCATAAGCATACATACATAAGGTGTAGTTTCCTGGAACAAATACTACCCATTATGTAAACATTTCTGGGGCTTTGTATTAGCGAAAGTACTACTAATGAAGAAAGTATTCCACGTGCCATAAAACTCTGATATAAAAACCATGTCAGGAACGTAAGATGAATAAACACGTTTTTTTTACAAAAACTATATACAGAAGCTTTTTTATTTTTCCCCAAGTTTTAGCTTATTTACAATTGGCATTTTATGCGTGCCAAGCATGGCTATATATACAAGAGAGTCAAACGGTTTTTAACACGACAAGTAATTCTTTCTTCTGTTTCACTGCGTAACACAATAGCAACGTTGAGGTCCAATACCAACTTAGTCTGTCTGTCTGTCTGTCCGTCTTCTAATTGTTTTGCTTCTGCCGAAACAGCCTGCCATTCCTATGCTACTGAGATAAGACAAGCACACGTGCTGACATCTCTCTATGTGCTGGATGGTGCAGGTTGTGTGACATGCGTTCTGTGTGCCTCCATGTACGAACCCTCTAACAAACAAACTCACAGATATCTGCCTCGCAATCCTTTACTGCCTGAAGTCTGACCCCGTCTAAACAACTTGCATTCAATAAAATCAAATTAAATAATGAAAATAAAGCTCACATAGATATGTGAGGTCATTTCGTAGAGCAACGTTAAATTTGTGGGATTTGCATACACGTGTTGCGTGCCTTTTAAAATACTATAATAAAACGGTATTGCATACGTGTTCACAATAACAATTTTCTCTTCCGTGAGCAGTTTTACAGTAAACTAAATATGAAGCTCACAATTTGCTGACTATATATTGTGCTCTTAGAGGTCCCTCTAATACAGCACTGCTTCATGATTGCTTACATGGTGATATATACTTTGTAAAAGCAAACCTAAAATTTCTAGCACTACAAATTCTTCTGACTTTTTTTACTACTATACAATAAAAACGTTTTTTTAGTTATAATAGCACAGAGGCAGAAACTGTTAGTGTAAGTGGGTGGCTAGTAGGTGCAGTGGCATTTACACTTGAAGTGACTACAAATCAGTGACTGTATTGGCACAAAAGTGACACATGACCTTGCAGAGTGGGCACCACGAAGAGGAGAGTACAACTAAGTATTTAATAATCTGCATAATCATTATCTGTTCTTCTGACATAGAAGTGACGAGTTGCTACCAAGTTTAAATAGTTACTACGCCAACCAGAAATCAACGAATACATAAATATGCCTTGCACTTGATCACACGAATTGACACGAATGTGAGCATGCAAGGCAGATGCTGGGACAGGATCACAACAACAGCCTCTCCCGTCACAGCTAGACTGCCATGCTGAGATTCAACTATAGATATACACAAACGTGTGTTTATATATGTCTATGATTCAACCAAACCGATAAGCTTCGTGGCTTGTAAAAAGTTCAATACAAGATGGAAATTCTGTGTTAAACACTTGTTATCTTTTTGTAATCTCAGCGCCCCTACTTTGACTTTGACCTTGAGCAAACTTTGCACAGCGCTGGAGTTAACTCCCCTTGCTGATAACCGATATACTGCTTTCTAGCTGTTCACACAATCGAAAAATGACACAGTTTTAGATACGATCTTTTAAATTTGGCCCAGCCAAGGCCAATGTTTCCATTGAACTGTGGATGCCTAGCAAAATATAGCACACACGTCGTATTTGAAAGTTAACGCATGTGAATATAACTCTGAATGTTATGCATTCAGTGTATGTACAGCACTTTACGCACAGAGATAATTTATATAATAATGGCAAGAAACCACAAGAGAAATCGCCAAACCGAGACGATTACAGGTTGTCGTGTCGTAGATATTGTACATGCACTACCAGCAGCAAACCACAGCTTATATATATGAGCCTATTATAACATGGTATAGGAATATAGATAGTTTAATAAAGTGTTGCATGTTTAATAAAAAGCCAGTTGTTTTACTAACACTTGATACTAATAATGGAGAGAAATCATGTTTATCAACCACAAGCATCAAATGTTACCAGAATGGTGGCAACTAAATCCATAACACGTGCATCTTATGAAGAATATAACACTTATAATGCAACTAGTGCATTAGGTTTGGTACAATTGTTATATATCTGGTTTACACGTGTATACACGCTGTGTTATATGTGTCATGTACACAAATATAATATCATCGTGCATGTGACAATACTTCAAGTGTACAATAGTCACTAAGTGAGAAGAGAGCCTCAGATCTAGAATGAATCCATCTGTCTAGTGTTTCACTATTAACCTAAGGAAGCAACTTTTGCTGATTGGGGTCAGAAAGATATTATATACTGCTGTAGCACCAAAACAACCAAATATGAAACCATTATTATTGTGTTAGCCAATAGTAAATACAGTAGTACTGCATTGTAAGATACGACAACACTGGTCGATGCCACCTTGGAGACCAACATCACCTTATGACATTCACTTACACGTGTGTGTGTGTGTATGTATGTATGTATATATATATATATACGACTGCTGTTACTGCTGCTACTGCTACTGCTGCTGTTACTTTGTTATTTTAGGGCTCCCTCTATCTGCCTGTCGACCTTAAGACTACACTGATGCGAAAGGATCAGCATTACTGTGGGCAACAGCTAGTATGTCATCACACTACAAGTTGTTAGTATAAAAGGTATAAACTTCTTGATATAGAGTTGAAACTTTAACACAATACCAACATTGTTGTCTGTGCATTTATTTACCAAAAAACACAATACAGTACGTACTGAGTACATGCAGCTATATGCAATATATATAGAAACAATATGTTTAATAATTTACTGACTTTTAAATACATACAGGTAGACAGCAGACCTGCACAGTAACGGTGTGTAGGTGCGAGGAAGCTGCTGTCACCTTAATCAGGTATAATCTGTGGCCAGCAACTCCTACCAATCCGAAAATTGCGTTTGACATGATGCTAATGGAACTGCTGTCAGTGATGCAGCTCGAGTGTCACATGCCTGCCAAGACATTTTGTGCGGCTCTGGGCTATATGACTGCACCAAAAACCACATCGTCTGCAAATGTATATATGTATATAAATATTCATTTCTTATCATCGCATGAATATTCTTCCTATCACGTGCACACCCTCAATGTTAGCACCTGTAACCTGTTACTTAAAATCTAAATAGAAAAAACAATAATTATCAGGTGTTATTCTGGTATGGGACGTACTGCACAATATCAAGAGCTAATAAATACGTATTTATTAGCTCTTGCCGATATACATAGTATTAATCGATGGAGCTATGAATAATATTGTTCAGTAATTTGAAAAAATTCTACAAAAAATGATTCATGGCAATTGGACACTAAATGTGCATTTATTTTTAATACATAGTTGTTGCTCACAAAATATATATATATTTATTTGCTTTCCTTCAAGTTTTTTGCTAATACTTTCAACGTTCAGTCAGTGCAGATACTACCGAAACCTCCAGCTGTGTCCGCGAGAATAACCAATTGCAGTCACTTTTTGGGTTGAGACTCTTTGATTAAAAAAAGCGAAGAGCTCATTCTCATATTGTTTCTGCGGTCGGAAAGATACAAACTGGGCAGTAAACTGGTGGTTGACAGATAATGTTTATGTTCTGCTAACTTTTTCAGGTAATGCATGGTTCATTGCTGCATGAGTAATTATGATAACGCCCCAGATTACACGCACAGCACCTTTACCATGACAGAGCTAAATACATATACACTGATTCAAGTGTAATATTCATTTGTTTTGGTAGATGGGTAAGATGGAGGGTAGGGGGGCACATGCGTCAGTGTGTGTGTAGGGGTTGCACATGCGTCGGTGTGTGTAGAGGGTAGACGCGTCGGTGTAGGGGGGCCACATGCGTCGGTGTGTGTGGGGGTGGTACACGCGTCGGTGTAGGGGGGCACAATGTTGAATTAAGTCGGCTGGGTTTGGTGTTCGTTCCAGGTATTAAAATTGATTCGCTTGATATCCTTGACCTGTATTAGATTTTATACAGCACAAAAAGCAGTTCAATCTTGGTGCTAACTGTCAGTGACTAATTATCATTGCTTTCAGGAACAAAACATATACAGAGCCGTGGTCGGAGACTGCCTGGCAGAATACAATTTCCACAGGTCCTGTTTAAAGACCAGGAATAAAATATGCTCAAAAACAATTGGGAGAGAGTGCCCAATTTGTCAAGAGGTAATTATTTACTTAATTATGTTCATTGGAATAGATTAGTTACATATTATTAGAACCCAATTTTATTTTCCCGTTAACAATATTTTTGTATTTTTATGGAACTCATTGCAACACAGAACTAAGGTGGATAAAAGTCATGAATAGAGGATGAATGTTTTTTTACAAGATATATACCTTCCCCAATGCATTTTGTATTTTGCATGAAATCTATGAATGCTTGATGTCGTGTAAAAGTGCAACCTTTTAGGTGTAATCATGCACATACCAATCATAACTTTTCTAAAAACTGATTCACTCGAAAAGTTTATATAAATCAGTATTCTGGAGCATACAGAACAGAGTAATTTCAATTTCTATGTTCTAGTGTTGATGCTATGTTTAAGTAATGATAGTTGTGAACTTTTTGATGAAAAATAATTTATATGCTCTACATACAAAAGTACAATTATCTTGGCCTTTTGTTGATCATTGTTTTATAGGAGCCTTCACTCGTCTCCATGGATGGCAATTTTGGATTGGTCCATAAGGCCTCAGCAGGCAAAGGCCATGGAGTTGCCTCCAGTAGGAACACTGGTGTGTTTTTTGAAGACCCAGGCCAAGTGAAGGAGTACGTGGAAAGCCATACAGTAGATGTAAAAAGTAAAATCAGTGTAAGTAAAAATTCAATTCAATTCCAAACAATTACAACATGCAAAAAGTTATCGTACAGATCAAGTATATGAAAATCCATTAATGCGCCCAAATCGACCGTTATAATAGCAATTCTTCCACATTCTACCCCCAGCCAATTCACGGAAAATTAAATACACTTTGTGAGTCATTAATTGTCAGCATGTCTTTCAACAATTTCCATGGTGACAATTTATTGGAATAAATATTTTGCGTGTTTTCTTAGGACTGCTCCAACTTCCAGGCGGGCAGTGTGGTACGATCCAAAACTAAAAACAAGAAACTCGATATTACGGGCATTTTTGGAAGTGCCTGCATGTAAGCACGACATTCCCCTGCGATTTTTGGACATGTTCCACGGTGAAAGGTGTGGTTGCGTTTTATTAAATTTGATATCCATAAATTTAAAAATTATATCCATGCTGAAATGGCAGCCCAGGTTTATGCTCAAGACAAAGTCGCGCAAAACCCTGTCCAATGATGATTGACAGGGCTGCTTTGGATGATTCAGATGCCGAGTTAACCGCAGACGCTGGCTGCTAGGCATACCACATACATGTCACACGTGAGCAGGGCAGCAAGTGTATGCTTGCATGGTAATAAAATGGTATTACTATTATATGAGGAGTAAATAAAAAACAAATTTTTCTAACATTTGTTTTTATTACCTCCCGATATAATAGATACAGAAGATAGAAATGCTATTGCTTATAATATACTGACCGGTATGCAAGCCTACACTTGATGTGTTGTTTGCATTATGAGCCATATATAATTGTGCTTTTTGCTGCCATAAGGTGCCTATATATTGCCTCTAATTTTGCTCTGTTGCCTCCAATTTTGTCCATGTTGGTGGGATTGACTATTTATTTTCAGCAGTTCATTGCACTATTGTTCTAATGCTATATTCTACAGGATTGGATATTCCGTGTACCTGCTCGAAAAATTCACGCATGGGAGAACACGCCAGCTAACCGTAATGTACGACATTGCGTGCACATTGGACAAGCACTTGAAGATATTAATTTTGTGTTGTGTAGGTTTTTTTCACAGATTAGGTATATCAACACATGGTTAACACATATTGTGACCAGTAATAAAGATTCTTGTCACAGAATTCATAGCTATATTTGCACTGATTAGTGATATATATTTATCATAAATCAAGGTTTTTGTTGTTGGCAATTTAGCTATTGCTGCCATTTTTCTTCATGCAAAAGTACAGTTATCTTATTATAATGATGTCTGATGTGTTATAACATTAACATTACATTCTATTGTATATATTTCAGAAATCCATTAATGTCGCACTTTTGCGACAGTGTACTTTTGCTGTGCCAGTGTTCCACAGCTTTGCACATATAATGTGACCTGTCAGGTGAAAAATTGCATTTTTGTTTTACTAATCATTACATAGTGGCCGTAAAGATTTTTTATATACAATAGAGAAGTTGAAGTACAAATCATTTCCGTGTCAGTATCTAAATTTCCTTTGAAATAAAATGATAGCTATAGGGTCATGAAGTTGCTACATATTGTCTTTAGTTGGCATATGGGCAACGGTTTGCTGAAGGAACTGGCCTAACTGATGGTGAGGGCATTGAAAGGCTCTGGTCGTATCTACATGGTTTCAAGAAGATCACGAAAGAAATGTCTGAGAACAATCGACACGACCTTCTTTCCGAAGCGTTGATGCATTAATTACTCGGATAAAACAATTGCAAAGCTGGGTGAATATAATTTACTTGTAGCGTCTTTTTATGTGCTAGCTGTGTCTCTGCTAAACGTAGGAAAATTAAAAAATAAACAAATGTAGCAATTTTCAAGTGCTAATTATATTAGCTTAATTAACATTTCATCTCATTGACGATTAACGAAATGACGAATTGAAAAGAACCGTGAAATTCTAAATATGTTATCAGATAGCAAAAATTACATATAACAAGCTAAGAAAAGTAACATCACATGCTTTTATGTACCAAATATTATAATGACAAACTACATGGTTTTATTACCACTAAAGGGTACCGTCTCAAGGAAAGGTTTGAAAAAGCTACAAGAATCGTCAATGAGAGTGACGCCATTATTGACGAAATACTTAGAAAAGAGATGAGTATGTACCAACTTCTCTGCAGTTAAATTGAGATACGGAGCTATATACATACGCTTTATAAACATAAGCGTTTAAACTAAACTGTTAATGGATTTTTCGTGTAAGAAAGAAATGCCTGAACATTTAGAAAGTGAATTATGTGCCTTAAAGTTTTATAACCCATGCCTTTTTTTATGTTTGTTTCTATGTAGTGTCAGAGGCAGCAATTGGCAGGTGGCTAGATGAGTGGAGGGAAACGTCAGCAATGCAAAAGAAGCAAGGTACTATACACAAGTCATTTAGAAATTGACTGCTATAAAAATGTATTATCACTATAAGCAGAATCGAAAACGTTAATTAAATAGATTAATTCTATATTCTATATTAATTACCATGTTTCAAATACAGCTGAAATAGTGCAGGTAAAATGCTTTTCGCTAGCTGTTTATGTCACAGCTTAAATTAGTACTTTTCATTTTCAAATTAAATATTTAGGCCATTATATTGTATTTGGTTTACATTTTAGCAGTAGGGTGTACTTTGCAGTAGGGTAAATTTGTTCACTTTCACGTTAACTGTAACTCATACTGCATGCATGGCTACTGATTACAATCTTTTTATTCATAGCTCTCTTACTGTCTGCAGACGAAGCATATGCAGAATGCCTGCAAAGAGCGAAAGTGGAGAGGTACTTACATGGGTTTACATTTTCATATTTTTTAAAGCGTTTGAGCCACATAATATAGGATGTTCAAAACTGTGATTTGCTAAATTCGAATAATGAACACTTAAAGTAGCATTATATGCAGGGTAATGATGTATATGCTACGATGTACATTAGGGGTATGCAACACATCAATTTGAAAGTGTGAAGCAACATCATATAATAATTGAATCAAATGTTTACCTTGTCAGCTATCTGTACGTTTCAATAAAATAATTGCCTGATAAATGATGCATTAATTTTTAAGATGCCACCTGGATGTACTAGATGGAGCTGAAAGAGCAGTTCACATGGAAAAGATTAAAAGGTGAAAGGTTTTGCTTGAAATGCTTCCAAATTCAAAACCAAATACAGAGTGAAAGTATTATGTTTCACAAAGTTATCGTTGCATAGAAAATTGTCTCTTTCTCGCGATAAAATTCTGTTGTTGTTGTTGTTCTGTTTGTTTCCGTTTGCTATGGACCATGGTGCCAGCAGTTAATGTAAATTAATTAGTTATTATAATTATAACACTTTCAGAACAGAGAATGAATGTAGAAAGCTCAATAGGAAGAGCATGCTGTGAGCAAAACCTCAACATTGACAGTGAGCAGGGAAAGCAGCTGCCCCCCTAGATTTTGGAGCCAAAAAAAAATTATACTAAAAGTCATTGTCGGAGTCAGAATGAAGGCTGTTCGTGTACTCAAAAGTGCCTCAAATACCATCTTCTGCAATCTACATTTTCAAAATTTTCTGTGGTAGGACCCCTAGACCCCCACCTGTTTCTCACCCCCTGCTTTGAAATCCTGGATTTGCCACTGCCCCCTAGGAATTTTCTCAGCCTACGGCCCTGTTATGTCACAGAAATCATTTGATAAATGAAAACTAGTTGATCAATAATAAGATCGCTAATAAAAAAACCTGTGGAGACCCGTGGAGAATGTTGACGTATCTTGATTTGAAAACAAGCGACTTCACTGCATAAACATAGACACCATGTTGAGTCCGAGATTCCTTGTTAAAACCTATCTTTTTTATAATTGTCACAGATGGACAACAAATTGGAGCTCGTGTGGGTCGCCAGTTTGGCACCAATGCATTGAAAATAAGAAAGGAATTGGTAACATTCAACGAGCTTGTAGTGCCACAACATCTTGACATGCACGATGTCTCGTCACCATCAGCGCCCGTCTATGAACAACTGGACTGCTTAAATCTAACAAGTGCACAGCAGAAGGCAGTACAGACAATGTCGTTCAAAAAAAGAGCACAAGAAGAATTATTTGAATTAACTTCAGAAACTGGTGTGTATTCAAATTTTTTACAGGCCCAGAGTGAATTCTTATTAGGCGTTATTGCACCTACTATGCCAACTTTGAGAAGAGCTGGAAAGCAAACAAAAAATATTATATCTCTAATTTTTGTATATTATGTAGAAAACATGTTGAGGTATAATTTTCAATGAAGTTCATCTCAAGGTTACGTGATCCACAGGGTCAAATTCAAGGTCAAAGTAAAGGTCAAAAGGTCATCAAACTTTATACTGCTCCTATATAACAAATAATGACAGATTTTACTGCTATTACTCCTACTGCTGCTGCTGCTGCACCGCTTATAACATACTAAATACTTAATGCATTAGTTTCATTCTTACTGCTCACACTACCTGTCAGGTTTATCTGTCAATAACAGTCTGTTTTTACTTCACTCTGAATGAATACACATGAGTGCACCTTTATATTATTATCACAATATCTCAAACACGAATTCAACGTTTGCACTAATGTGTTCCGAACAACATATATTTTTATGCCTCCTGTTAATGCATATAAGGCAGGGTGAGGCACGTGTAGTAATTATATCTACCCGGCTTTTATTAAAGGGTGCTATGAATATTTCCCCCCACAGAAAGGTCAGAAGATACATGTATTCTATACAATGATTTCTTCTACGTCATACACGCCACCGCGTTTCTGCACGCTTCCATCCTTCCACAGCGCAGGTCATTATATGCTGTACGTCGGCCCCACCATCATTCCTTAACATCCCTCTTACCCTGCCTCACACTACACCTCATAACAAAACCTCCTTCATCCCATCCCGTTATAAAGTGACTTCTTCAGCTTTTACTGTACATAGATAATAAAACTTTAGCACCAGACGGGCTGAACATATATAGCAGCCGAAACAGAGACGAGGCAGTACAGCCCCAGCTAGTAGCGAGACACGTGACGCGTGTACTGCGTGTGATTGGCCAGAGATCTGAAGCCGTGTGACTAGCACCTGCTATCTCTTTCGATCATGATGACCCCGTGACTTTGACCTCAACATCGCCTCTAGGCCCATGATGAACAGCTGAGGCTATGCCGCGATACAGGATATCACTTAGCAAGGCTTGATATACTCTGCTATGCGCTGGCGAATAGCGCAGGTTGATATGTGACAAACAAACTATATAATAAAAAAATCTCTCACTAAAATGTGTTTAGTGACCAACCGAACAGCACATAAGCTGCATTGGAACTTCTGATCATTACTGGACACTGTAAGCATGCATAAACATGTACACTTAAACACTGCTGATCATTCACGTAACTTCTATGGAATAATGATTGCAATAATCATGATGTTTACTCTCTTGTGCCTCCCCCACGCACTGTACACTCATGCACCGTGCATGCATATTCACTATACGTCTTATATAATGATGGTATAGTGCTACAACTATACAATCATTGGCCTGTGATATTGAATCACAGTTGTACATTATTAACAAGAATGTGCACTGCAAAATGCAGCATATATATGAATATTATATTATAATCACTTTGATTTCGTGCTAAGACGACTGGTGCAGGCGTGCAAACACTTATTGTGTAGGTTGTACCCAACACATTACACGCGAAAACCATTATATCTGTACATTCCATTGCAGCAACACATAATACAGAAGGAAAATTGCTCTCACCCAGTCAGTTTTGTTATGCACTGACAATTAAAATCACATCAGTCAGCTTTCCTCTAATTTTCATCTATTTGCAGAATTCACTTCCCAAAGACATTTCTACCCACTAACTGTAAAACACGTTCAAACATCAAAAACAAATGAGAGGAACGTTTTAAGACTGGGTAATAGTGTCACGCATTACACAATCAAAACTGACCTACCTTGTTATGCGCAGGTCTACTGCCAACGTTATCACAAGTTGTATCCAAGAGGGGTTTACACTCTTATTTCTGCTATCATGCACTTCCTATTACATTCACCTCTCACCAGCATGTATGTAAACACAATGTGTTACCTCTCACCAGCATGTATGTAAACACAATGTGTCACCTCTCACCAGCATGTATGTAAACACAATGTGATGCCTCTCACCAGCGTGTATGTAAACACAATGTGTTACTTCTCACCAGCGTCATATGAAACACATGTGTTACCTCTCACCAGCGTGTATGTAAACAACAATGTGTTACCTCTCACGCAGCATGTATGTAAACACAATGTGTTACCTCTCACCAGCATGTATGTAAACACAATGTGTTACCTCTCACCAGCATGTATGTAAACACAATGTGTTACCTCTCACCAGCATGTATGTAACACAATGTGTTACTCCACGCAGCATGTATGTAAACACATGTGTTACCTCTCACCAGCATGTATGTAAACACAATGTGTTACCTCTCACCAGCGTCTATGTAAACACAATGTGTCACTCTCACCACGCATGTATGTAAACACAATGTGTTAACCTCTCACAGCGTCTATGTAAACACAATGTGTTACCTCTCACCAGCGTGTATGTAAACACAATGTGTTACCTCTCACCAGCATGTATGTAAACACAATGTGATGCCTCTCACCAGCGTGTATGTAACACAAGGTGTTACCTCTCAACCAGCGTGTATGTAAACACAATTGTTACCTCTCACCAGCATGTATGTAAACACAATGTGATGCCTCTCACCAGCGTGTATGTAAAACACAATGTGTTAGCCTCTCACGCACGTCTATGTAAACACAATGTGATGCCTCTCACCAGCATGTATGTAAACACAATGTGATGCTCTCACCAGCGTGTATGTAAACACAAGAGTGTTACCTCTCACCAGCGTTATGTAAACACAATGTGTTACTCTTCACCAGCATGTATGTAAACACAATGTGATGCCTCTCACCAGCGTGTATGTAAACACAAGGTGTTACCTCTCACCAGCGTCTATGTAAACACAATGTGATACCCTCTCACAGCATGTATGTAAACACAATGTGATGCCTCTCACCAGCGTCTATGTAAACACAATGTGATGCCTCTCACCAGCGTGTATGTAAACACAATGTGTTACCTCTCACCAGCGTCTATGTAAACACAATGTGTCACCTCTCACCAGCATGTATGTAAACACAATGTGATACCTCTCACCAGCATGTATGTAAACACAATGTGTCACCTCTCACCAGCATGTATGTAAACACAATGTGTTACCTCTCACCAGCATGTATGTAAACACAATGTGATGCCTCTCACCAGCATGTATGTAAACACAATGTGTTACCTCTCATCCAGTATGTATGTAAACACAATGTGTCAGCCTCTCACCAGCATGTAGTAAACACAATGTGTTACCTCTCACCAGCATGTATGTAAACACAATGTGATGCCTCTCACCAGCGTCTATGTAAACACAATGTGTCACCTCTCACCAGCATGTATGTAAACACAATGTGTCACCTCTCACCAGCATGTATGTAAACACAATGTGATGCCTCTCACCAGCGTGTATGTAAACACAATGTATGCTCTCACCAGGCGTGTATGTAAACACAAATGTGTTACCTCTCACCAGCATGTATGTAAACACAATGTGATGGCCTCTCACCAGCATGTATGTAAACACAAATGTGATACTCCACCAGCATTATGTAAAACAATGTTTACCTCTCACCAGCATGTATGTAAACACAATGTTTTACCTCTCACCAGCATGTAGTAAACACAAATGTGTTAACCTCTCACCAGCATGTATGTAAACACAATGTGTTACCTCTCACCAGCGTGTATGTAAACACAATGTGTTACCTCTCACCAGCATGTATGTAAACACAATGTGTTACCTCTCACCAGCATGTATGCATGTATCTACCCTGTGTTAGACCTACAGAGTACACATGACCCCTTCTTGACCCCTTCATATCTATTCTCATAATAGCAGGTTACACACTAGGAGAAACTGTGTTTGTGAGGACAGCAATATTAATTGACCTCTGCCCATTGTAAACACAATTTACACATAATAGTTACATGCGAACATTAGCAATGATGTCATTCGATTCTGTGATCTATATACACATGAGACTTGCACACAAACTGGTCAGTGTCGTCTTGCCTTAATCTATTGGTTCAAAGTTGATGATCCCGTTAGTCGGGTCGTACGATCCAGCGAGATAATATACATCATCGTTACTGTAAGGATCCCTCCTCCCCTCCTTCTGCTGCCTGTATGCATTGTAATGTTGCCATGACAACACGTTGCACTTGTGAGATATCGTCTGAACATCATTCTCATCGACGTGTGGCGATTGGAACAACGCTCCCTGGAGGAGATAGTGCTGAAACAATAACGCAGCTTGTTACTGACTTAGTGAGGATTTACTCATCATGATGTAGCCATCACAAGTACACCCACAGTAACAGCACCAACATTACATGACAGGCATGTATACAAAGCACTCAGCAAACAAAGCTGATCACATAGCAGCTTCTTCTGTTTATGCTCGCGGCTGTTAGCTACATTGCACACCTCAGCTGCCATATGTACAGGGCAAATTAAATCCATGTCCAGACATTTACTTTGTTAGTCAGTAGGTGGCAGCATGGGCACATAGCTTACCTTCTGCTCTATGAGTCTGCGACCACCCCGCGTTTCTTCAGGATGATAGAACCACTTCACCTTGACGACCATGTTGCCTCCCCAGCCCTCCCACATCGTCACGACACGCCCGACGTAGGGCAGGTGTGGTCGGCCCGTCGAGAGAAACACAGCACAATCTCCCACCTGTAACACATCGCAGGTTAGCTTAGTGTCAGTAGCAGCAAGTGTTCACATGCACGCATGTACGTACGCAAGCAAGCAAGCACGCGTGCACGCATGTACGCACGCAAGCAAGCACGCGTGCACGCATGTACGCACGCAACCTCTCCTTCCCACCACCCTCCCCTTCCCACCTCCCTTTCCTTCCCACCACCCTCTCCTTCCCACTTCCACTCTCCCCAGGTGTAACCACTCTCCCACCTCCATCCCTGTTGTACTTACTGCTTCCTGTAGCAGCTCCTCTCTGGGGTAGATGTAGGGTCGCTTGCCCCTCTCCCCATCGATGGTGACTCCGTAGACGTCTGGCGGCTCTATCTCCGTCACGTAACCCGGGTAGAAGTGACCGTCCATCAGAATTAGCACCCGCAGTCCATCTCGCAACTCTTCCTCCGAGATCTGACAGCTTCTCGGCTCTGCAGGTAATAACATGAACTATTTACTAACACTAACCATGCACATGAGTAACACCAGCCATGGATACTAACCATGGACACTAACCATGGACACTAACCATGGACACTAGGCAGTAGTACTAACTATGGATATTTAACAGGAACACTAACCATGGATACATATACTCTCAGCCATATTATTGGCCAAATAACCAGCATCTAAATCAACCAGCACTGGTCTAACAAAAGCGTCGAGAAGAGAACTAGAGTCTACAACAAGTTGATGACATCTGCAACCACACGGGTGCGCTGCGATACATACCGGGAGTGACAGGGCGAGATGGTTTCTCCACTAATGCACTTAATGGAAGATTCTCCTCTTCAGTGAAGTCACTGTTGCTGCTACTGCTACTGCTACTGCTGTCCGAGTCGTCAGCAGTGCTGCCCCCTGGCTCGTCACTGTCTGAGTCTGGGTAGTAGTATGGGTCGTAGGTGAATGATCCAGTACAACGCTCAGTTGCTCCTGCTGTTGCTGCTGCTGCAGGCCTCCTGACAGGAATTGGCTTCGACCTCTTATGCTCGCTGTCTGCCTTCGATGGTTGCCTGCTGCGTGGCTTACTCGGTGTCTTTGTCTCCTGTACAGCACACCAGAGGGCGTTACAGGTAACAATAGCGACATCTTGACTATTCAATATTGACATTTATCATCTGTTTATCAGCTTCTGTTCCCTTAACAACATCTATGTAATGATTGAACACAAACTAGAAACTTCTACCTAGGATACAGATAAATGCGCGCCACACCTAATTAAATCATAGTTACTTGTTTCTCATTCTTGAATACAGGTCCAGACGCAAAGCTTTTGCCGGGAGACTTGGCACTGCTTGCACTGCCACTTGGTGACACATTGCTGGTGAGAGGAGAGATGCCACCGGGTAGGATGGCCGGTTCGCTGAGGAATATACGTTCACTGCGTCGACGATTCCAGAGTTCGCTGCTGTAGAATGACGGCACTGCCTTACTGCTGCTGCTGCTGCCGTCGTCTCCTCCATCCTTCTTACTCCCTGTGTCCACACACTGAAGTAACAACCATCTGTTAGCTAACACATCATTTACATGAGCACATACATCAGCACAGCGAGATTAGAAGGACATGAGGAGAGGAGGGATGGGAGATGAGACAGGATGCACTACTCACAGAAACAAAGCACATGTGCTCACACTACAACACTGTATTAAACAAGACATCTACTTCTACAAATATCACATATGTGGCTGGCCAATACCAACTTCTAAATGCATATCTATATATATAAAGTTGTTCAGCGTAATTAGTTTGTACTCGCATAACTAGAGAACTCCGCAGCCTAGCGGAAAACTAAGGATATTTTCAGAATCAGCACGTCTGGGAGGTTTAAATTAAAATTTAAAAAGTTAAAAAGTAAAATGCATAAAAATTCTATTCATCAATAGATGGTGGTGCGTACAGATTAACATCACGTACGTGTGAATACCCTTAACGGCGCAGTGGCCTAATCGCTAGCTAGAACATCCGTCTCCTACACCGGGATTTCGGGTTCGAGTCCCAGCTGGGGAACATCATAGCTTTTCCCCTTTTTTCCGTTTTTTCCCTTTAACTACCTCTTTAGTATGTATTATTTTTACCTTTTTACTTTTTACTTTTTATTTTTTATATTTATCTTTTGATTTCTTATTATTTTTACTGTTTGGGATGTGATGGCATAGGATGGCATGGCATGGCATGGCATGGCATGGCATGGCATGGCATGGCATGGCATGGCATGCGGTGGGATGGGATGCGATGTGATGGCATGGCATGGCATGGGATGGGATAGGATGCGGTGCGATGGGATGGGATGGCATGGAATGGGATGGATGGATGGATGGATGGATGGATGCATGGATGCATGAATAGATAGATAGCTGGGTGATGTTACACTTACACACCAATGGCTGGATGATGTTACACTTACAGACTATTGGGAAGTTTGGAAGCAGCAGACGAATGTGATCCATTGGAATGTTTCCTGAATCGCCGTCGTCAAATTCCACACTGAGTAGATTCTTGTCATCATCAGAGTTTGGTGACTCTGTAAAACAATCACAACACAATGAGAAGTCAACCCCCGCGTCATGCTGATGCTACATGCTGATTTACATGATTATAACATGATCCAACCGTACTGCTTCTACCATACACGCGTGCGAACCACAGTATAGATAGATAATTAGCCGGTCACACCCTCCCCATATTAACAGCTTAGTATTACTGACACTAGCAAACAGGTAGTGACATGTATGTGAGGTCGGTTATGAGTAAGTGCAGTACAGACTGTTCGTTACAGAGACACATGTAGTAGAGCATGACAGTTATTGAAACATGTTGCTTTCTGTGATTGGTTATCATGTGACTACTATTTATTATGTGTGTTCTCCCTCCCTAGTGGTGGAGACCCTATCGTGTGCCCATGGCTAAATCATTGCATCAACCTGTGGATACATGCAAAGTCACTGGAATCATTAGTTGACTAATATGACAGACCACCCATGCCAAATCTTAACTGCAATTAATTCACACTAGGTTAATTGTAGATGTCAACAAACACTTTGATGAACTTTCAGATAGAGAATTCTATTTTCTATGTATGTCATGTGAATTATGACATATATCACCTATATTGTCATATAATAAAACTAGTTTTGCTCTTGGGATTTTGGTAAAAAAATTCATGGATTAACCTCATACAGAGGCAATAACTACATAATATTATTACATATAATTAATATGATATGATGTGTCTATCACTATACTAATGATCTCCAGTGTAGTGATATTGTAATTGATCCTTTACCTGCTTCAGGTGTGACAATGGTTCCAGGATAGAGACACCTGTACTGCTGACTCCAGTAGGCACACACCCTTGTTCCCTCCGTCAGGTTGCTCACTGACTGTGGCCTCACCTCTATGAACTGCGACCGAAGCAAACAGTAATATAGTACATGCACCCACAGCTGACACAGATGTGCAGACAAACATACCAACCCCTGCTACAATAGCCATTCATTTGACAAAACCCTCAAAGCTGCACGCATAATCTTATCTACCTTCAAGTCTCCCACCTCCCTCTCCTTCCCACCACCCTCTCCTTCGCACCACCCTCTCCTTCCCACGACCCTCTCCTTCCCCCTCCCTCTCCTTCCTACCACCCTCTCCTTCCCACCACCCTCTCCTTCCCACCACCCTCTCCTTCCCACCACCCTCTCCTTCCCACCACCCTCTCCTTCCCACCTCCCTCTCCTTCCCAGCACGCGTGCACGCATGTACGCACGCAAGCAAGCACGCGTGCACGCATGTACGCAACGCTACAATAATATTGCAAGGTTGGGTGGAGGGGGCTTGATATATCTAGAGAGAAATGTGGTTGCAATTCTATAGATTCTTAATATATCCAGTATCTATTATGTAGTACTTTATTCTATTTTGACTGAGACAATTCACTGTCATATGCTGAAAAATTGGGCCTGTTATCCCAAAGAAGGAGCATGACGTACACCACAGCATTCTTCCTCTGGCCCTCCCTCTGCATATTGGTATGTGGTGGGGAACTGTTTACAGCTAGGTAATCATACACATTTATCAGACAAACAGATGAATACCAGGCTTTGATAATTTTAAACTCTTTCATATTATTACAACCCACTGCCAATACTTTGCCACCTAGCTCTTACGTTGATAGTCTCTCTACCGCGTGTGATCGAGCGGTAGAATTCTTTCTTAGCTCGGCCTTTCATGCCGGGTCGCTTGGTGGATTTACCCGTCCATCGCCACAGTTGTCTGGCTGGTAGGAATGCTGAAACACATGAGAATCGCTCATATATATATATACAGGGTTCTCCAAGAGCACTTATAGCCTGGCGGCCCGCCAGGCTATCGTCGAGCCCCGCCATCCTAAAATGCAAAACCTACAAACCCTTACACCTAACTCCATTCACGCCTAACCTGAAACCCTACCTCCTAACTTCCATTCACCCTAAACCCTGAAAGCCCTACCCCTAACTCCATCACCCTAACCTGAAACCTTATACAAGCCTCACAAAATACTGCGGCCTATCAGTACACAGCACAAGTGGGCGGAGACCATGAGCGTGGCGCTTTTGCGGACTAGAGCCGATGCCTTTTAGTAACCTAGCAAACGGCCAATCGGCGTACCAGTGAAGTTTGGCTTTAGTACACCACGGGCGACATCTTGGGACCACGAAATCTGGCTCATGGTACCTCAGCCAAAGTGGCCACGTCAGGACGAGTGGAACGGTGGCCTTGGACGAGAGCGCATGGCCTTTCTAAGCCTACCGCATGCCCAATACCGGCGGTCAATGGGTACACTCAGTGACGTGCGGTCCTCCGGAAGACTTAGAGCCTGATGGCCGTTAGTACCATGCGACCTCCTTGTTTCGTAAGACCACAAAATTCTTGGGCTTAGTTTCCAGCAAAAGTGGCCCAAGAGACCAGTGAGGTGGCCTTTGGAACAACAGAGCCGGCTGGCCCTTTAGTACCATGCAAGACGGTCAATTGGACTCAGTGACGTGGCCTTTAGTCACCACACGGGCGGCCTTTGCGTGACACAAAATCTGCGCTATAGCTACCAGCGCAAAGTGGCCCGAGGACCAGTGAGGCGGCCTCGGCCAACCAGAGCCGATGGCCTTTAGCTACCATAGCAAACGGCCGATTGGGACCAAGTTAAAAGTCGCCCTTTAGTACCACACGGCGCGGCCTTTGCGGACACAAATCTGGCCTGATTAGTACCAGCAAAGCTGCCCGAGGACCAGTGATGGTGGCCTTTGGGACCGAGAGCCGATGGCCTTTTAGGTACATGCCAAACGGCCAATGGGACAGCGAAGCTGGCTTGAGCTACACAACGGGCCGGCCTTTTGGACCACCAAAATCTGGCCTATAGTACCAGCAAGAATGGCCGCAGGACCAGTGAGGTGGCCTTTTGGGACCAGAGCCATATGGCCTTTATGTCACAATGCAACGGCCGATGGCGACCAGCCTGAAGTGCCGCCTTTAGCTACCACACGGCGGCCTTTAAGGGACCACAAAATCTGGCCCTATAATACCAGCAAAGTGCGCCCGTCCGGGAGGACCAGTGGAGGTGGCCTTTTGCGGACCACCAGCTGATGGCCTTTAGTACCATTGCAAACGCGTCAATGGACCAGTGAAGTGGCTTTTTAGTAACCACACGGACAGCCTTTGGGACCACACAATCTGGGCCGTATAGCAAGCTCGCGACACTGCCGGTGGACCGGTGGGCCCGGGCAACCAAAACTTGATGGTCGTCGCCACCAAAATTTCCCAAAGTTAAAATTTGGCTGGCCCGATCGGGCCACTAAAATTTCAAAATGTCTATGTGATAAAAATAATTTTTTCTTTTTCCTTTTCTTACGTGCTAATCTCATTCAAAGAGAGCGCCAGCAAATTTCGCGGAGCGAGGGCACACGTACGCCACGTGCAGCATTCCTACCGCGGGCCATACCACGGCGCACGGCTTTATCGCGTCTACTGTGGCTTGCCAACAAGCCACGTTATTTGTGTTAGACTGCGTATCCGGCCTCACGCTCTGCTAGACAGATGTACACGCTCTGCCGACAAACAGTTCGGCCCGCGGCGAACCAGTCTAGCAGGGCGTCAAAATCTGAGCGGGCGCAGGCATAGCATATTTTGCAAGCGCAGCCATACATGTGATACATTGGATCAAGCGACACCAGACAATGCGTCTAGACAATACGCCTGCTCTTGGCCAGTGCTACTGTGGGAGCAGCGGCTCGAATTAAGCCGACGAGAGGGCGCAAGGCCAATTTTCTTAGGGCATGTGAGAATCGCTTTAAATTTTCTTTAAAATGCGCAAGGGCAGAGGCCAAATTTTAAAGGCACCAATGGCAACTCAAAATTGAGGGGGAAAAATAAAAAAAAGGAGGAAAATAAAAAAAAAAAAAAAAAAAAAAAAAAAAAAAAAAGAAAAAAAAAAAAAAAAAAAAAGGGGTGGCGGGGGGGGGGGGGAAAAAAAAAAAAAAATAAAAAAAAAAAAAGGTAAAAAAAAAAACGAACGGGAAAAAAAATAAACAGAAAAAGGGGGAGGGGAAAATAGAGGAAAAAAACAAAAAAGCGAGAAAAAAAATAAAAAACAAAAAAAAAAAAAAAGAAAAAAAAAAAAAAAAAAAAAAAAAAAAAAATAAAAAAAAAAAAAATAAAAAAAAAAAAAAAAAGAGGGAAAAAAAGTGGGGGAAAAGGAACTAAATAAATGAGAAAAGGAAAAAGGGGGAAAAAAAAAAAATAAAAAAAAAAAAAAAAGGAAAAAAAAAAAAAAAAAAAAAAAAAAATAAAAAGAACAAAAAAAAAACAAAAAAAAAAAAAAAATAAAAAATAAAAGAAAAGAAAAAAAAAAAAACGGGGGGGATAAAAAAAATCAAAACATAAAAAAAAATAGGGGAAGGGGGGAAGGGGGGGGAAAAAAAAAAACAAAAAAAAAAATAAAAAAAAAAAAAAAAAAAAAAAAAAAAAAAAAAAAAAAAAAAAAAAAAAAAAAAAAAAAAAAAAAAAAAAAAAAAGGGAAAAAAAAAAAAAAAAGAAAAAAAAAGGGGGGTGGGGAAAAAAAAAAAAAAAAAAAAAAAAAAAAAAAAGAAATGGGCACCAAGGAACTGTTGTTAAAATAAATTGAAAAACTCATAACAAATTAAGTACATTCAATATCGTCTTTGCCTTTAATGTACAAAAACAATATGCCCCATGTAAGCTTACACCGCTACACCCGCACCCCTTTCCCCCCTCTGCTAATTGAAGTACAGCTAACAAGAAATTTTACTATGCCCGCCTAACAGCGAGCGAATAACTTATCCGATGCTGTTTATTATTCCCTCTGCGGGACTATCGGTGTTCAAGCCTCTCATTCTTGACAACACAGCCGCATACGCGTAAGTGTTATGTTGGACTTCGACTAAAAACGAAAGTCTTAGGTGGACAGTAGATTATAAGGGCAAAACCGGACGGGCAATTATCATACAAAAGGGCAAGGCAGGTGACTGCCGTCGGTCGGGTTGGATTTTCAACGCGGCAGCTACGGCAATTGATAGGGGCCACCGACGGCCACATGCCGTCCGGTGCCATCGGTTAATTCGCAGCCCTGTGTTGCCGCAATTCTGCATGTTCCTCACTATACCTTAAGTCAAGGAGTGAATGTTCCCCTTCTTTTACACCTCTTGACTTTGACCTTTGACCCAGGCTCTCGACAGCTCCAACTCGTTTGACGATCCTCTCCCCTCAACGACGCCCGACATATCGTGACCGTAGCGTCGAGTTCGTTAGATTATGTGTCTCCAACTGTTGGACGGGACAGGACGGCACGGACGCGGACCGGGACGGACGCGACGCATCAAGCGATTCTACAAGCTTGCATCTCTGACTATGTCAGGTATGAGGCTAGACCAATTAATACACGTTGTTATTATATCGGAAGATTAAACTTTGAAGTGATATGCCCAGAAAGCCTCACTAGTTTACCTTGGTGTTTCAATTTCTCGGGAGGGAATAAACGAGCAGTGCTTGCAAATTTACACACAGAGCTGTCCCAGATTGCAGTCTCACAGCCCAATTTCAAAAATTTTTTTTTCCTCCGGACCGTCCCTAGACGCAAACTGCCTTCGGCGATTTTGAAACTACGGACCGTAAAGCCAGCACTCCCCAGGCCTCATAAATTTTGAAAAAGCTTGGAATGAACCTTGATATATATAATTTA